AGCTCCCGAGTCAAAATTCGCTAATAATTGGTATGTAATGTTTCACGGTAGATATGAAAATAGTTACAAGTGTTTACCCACCGTTCAACCGGTGACTGGGCATTAAGCCATGTTTCTCTACCACCGCTAAAGTGGTGGTCAGGGCTCAAAGGAAAAAATCCCCCACACAGGTGAAGAAGGGACTTGAAGCAACAGAAATGTAGTTCTACAGAATGATCCTAAGAATATCATAGGCCGAGCAACGACGAAGTTTAGATATAATGACATAAAACATACACACATCTAGTAACGATGCCAACACAAACATGTTTGCACAAAAGCAGAGTATTATCTACCATGTATTCAATTGTGAAAGCAGAATAATATTTATCATATTCTTATTACTTCAAAGCTCCCAAGAAAATTAAATTTCGGCATTAAATGACCCATAAGGTTTTGATATGCCGTTAAACTAACAATCGAAATATAATCCTTCAAAATAGGATTCACGTTCTTCTTCCTGTCTGGTTTGTAGCATTTAATCTCTGCTAAACCAGAAGGAAATAAATCGTACAGTGGATGTGGGGGAGGGGAGATAATTGTTGAAGGATTTACGTTTGTACTGATACGTTATATGACATGCGTTGTCTTCATTTCAAAACAATTCATTTTGTTTCTTTCTCTTTTTTTTTTTTAATAGTCTACCCGTCTACTTATGAAATCAAATCTCAATTTATGGCTGATTATAAAATAGCAATGACCCACATGTATACATACATACATACATACATACACACATGCACATATATATATATATATATATATATATATATATATATATATATATATATATATATATCATATATATAATATATATATTATATATATATTATAATATATATATATATTATACATATATATATATATATATATCATATATATATATATATATATATATATATATATATATATATATAATAAATATATTATACATATATATTATATATATATGATATATATATAATATATATATCATATAATATATATTATATATATATAATATATATATATATATATATATATATATATATATATATCATATATATATAATATATATATCATATATATAATATATATTATATATATATATTATAATATATATATATTATACATATATATATATATATATATATATATATATATATCATATATATAATATATATATATATATATATTATAATATATATATATATATATTATAATATATATTATATATACATATATTATATAATAAATATATATATATTATATATGTGTGTGTATTTAGGCAGCAATCTTTCATTGATGCATGTTTCATTAAATAATATAGACAAGTTTTGTCTATTTATTTTAAGTAAGTTCCTTTCATATTGTCTGGTAAGCTTAATAACATTATCATTGAAAGACGAAAGGAAATCGCCATATTGATACATGTTTTCGGCTTACATATTTATAACACATACAGTTACTGTGAAAGTATAAAATTATGTACAAAATATCTACTTGAAGGCATACAATTGCGTTCAAAATACAGGGTGTCCCCATAAAAATTCACATCGTTTTGTCGTCTAATAATATAGCCAGTTGTCCCTCAAATGATCTCCAAAGTTTAACGAAATGTGTAAAAACTAATTAAGTTGACTGTGTGGACGTATCTCGGTGAGAATCTACCAGGAAGATGGATTGGGTGTGTCAGTGATAATAACAATGTGCTTATAAAATGGCCACCACGTTCACCTGACTTGACACGTTATGATTTCTTTCTATGGGGATATGTGAAAGGACATGTCTATATCTCACCTATTTCCGCAAGCCTATAGGAACTTAAGCAACCAATCACTGAGACGTTGTAGAATGTTGCGCAAGATATGCTACAACGTGTTTGGCAGGAGCTGGACTGCCGACTTGATGTGATGCGACACACCTTTCTTCGTGTGTTTATATACAGAGTGTCCCCCCCAAAAAAAAATTAACCTCATTTTGTCATCTAATAATATAGTCAATTTTCGCTCAGAGGATCTCAAATTTTAACAAAATGTATAAAAACTAAGTCGACTGTACGGACTTATCCCAATGAGAATATACCAGGAAGATGGATCGGGTTTGGCAGTAATAATAACTACTGAAATGGTCACTACGTTCACTTGATTTTACACTTTGTGATTTCTTTCTATGGGGTATGTGAAAGGACAAGTCTACATCCCTCTCTTCCTACAAACCTAGAGGAAGTTAAGCAGAGAATCACTGAGACTCTGAAGAATGTTAACGAATATTAAGAATGAAGTTGAACCAAAATGTACAATATGCCAAGCCGCACTCAGGGTGAAAACACATTTTAACTTAATGAATTCACTTGGCACTTGTAAGACATAAATACTAGAAGGAAACCAACACAAGAAAACTATTTGAAAATACTGAAACCATCAACATAATGGCCTACCTTAAAGAAACAGGTTTATACCAAAACACATAACATATACAATAGATCATGTACATACTATATATATATATATATATATAAATATATATATATATATATATGTATATATATAATATTAGTGGTAAATATACACATATATATGCAATCATATATCTAAAATATATAAATATATATACATACATGCACATACATATATATTTGTATAAAAATGATAATTCCAAGAGGATAGAATCCAGGTAGAACTCAATATCCAGGACAGAGTAAGGATATATATATATACGTCTATCCTGAAAGTTTAAAAATTAAGTACAAAATATCCGTAGTTGTATAGAAAATATCTAGACTTCAGCATTAAATAACCCATAAAGATGTTGATATGCCGCTAAACAACCAAATCAAACGTACTTGTCGATCGGGTTAAGCTTCAGACAAATTTGGACTGGCCTTTTTATTTAATCTACGAGTTTAAATTTTTTATCGTTCTGCTGACCATATCTTAGAGGTCAACCTGGACCTTTGTGTCCGCACAAAAACGGAGTATCAAAAACATTTTTTTATCCGTTGACACCATTATTACTTTAAGTACCATCACTCATCAGTAATGTTTATTTTGAAAATCGATGATTACAATTGTAATAAATATGATGAAAGTGAATTTGTTCTTGAGAATTGACAATATGGCTCGTTTTTCATATACTACCACCTATTTATTTTCGAGCATTCTCACACTCTCTTCTTTTGCGTAATCTCCACTTCTCTCTTATTATCGCGTATTCTCTCCCTCTCTTTTCTTCTAGTATTCTCCCTCTTTCCTCTTCTTTTGCGCAATCTCCCCTTCTCTCTTATTATCGCGTATTCTCTCCCTCTCTTTTCTTCTAGTACTCTCCCTCTTTCCTCTTCTTTTGCGCAATCTCCCCTTCTCTTTATTATCGCGTATTCTCTCCTCTCTTTTTCTTCTAGTACTCTCCCTCTTTCCTCTTCTTTTTGCAATCTCCCCTCTCTTATTATCGCGTGTTCTCTCCCTCTCTTTTCTTCTAGTTACTCTCCTCTTTCCTCTTCTTTGCAATCTTTTCTCTCTTATGTCCCCTTCTCTCTTTTTTTCTTCTAGTATTCTCCCCTTTCCTCTTTTCTTTCAATGTCCCTCTTTTTTCGCTTTTTTCCCCTCTAATTCTTCTAGCTTCTCTCTTATTATCTTCTTTTGATAATCTCCCTTCTCTTTATTCTTTCTCTCCTCTCTTTCCCTCTTTTCCTCTTCTTATTCCTTATGCCTAATCTCCCTTCTCTCTTATTATCGCGTATTCTCTCCCTCTCTTTTCTTCTAGCACTCTCCCTCTTTCCTCTTCTTTTGCCTAATGTCCCCTTCTCTCTTATTATCGCGTATTCTCTCCCTCTCTTTTCTTCTAGCACTCTCCCTCTTTCCTCCTCTTTTTGCGTAATCTTCCTTCTCTCTTATTATCGCGTATTCTCTCCTCCTTTTCTTCTAGTACTCTCTCTCTTTCCTCTTCTTTTCCCTAATCTCCCTTCTCTCTTATTATCGCGTATTCTCTCCCTCTCTTTTCTTCGAGTACTCTCCTCTTTCCTCTTCTTTTTGCGCAATCTCCCCTTCTCTCTTATTATCGCGTATTCTCTCCCTCTCTTTTCTTCTAGCACTCCCTCTTTCCTCTTCTTTTGCCTAATCTCCCCTTCTCTCTTTTTTATCGCGTATTCTCTCCCCTCTTTTCTTCCTAGCACTCTCCCTCTTTCCTCTTCTTTTGAATAATCTCCCTTCTCTCTTATTATCGCGTATTCTCTCCTCTCTTTTCTTCTAGTACTCTCTCTTTTCCTCTTCTTTTGCCTAATCTCCCTTCTCTCTTATTATCGCGTATTCTCTCCTCTCTCTTTTCTTCTAGTACTCTCCCTCTTTCCTCTTCTTTTGCGCAATCTCCCTTCTCTCTTATTATCGCGTATTCTCTCCCTCTCTTTTCTTCTAGCACTCTCCCTCTTTCCTCTTCTTTTTTTTGCCTAATGTCCCCTTCTCTCTTTTTATCGCGTATTCTCTCCTCTTTTTCTTCTAGCACTCTCCCTCTTTCATCCTTTTTGAATAATCTCCCTTCTCTCTTATTATCGCGTATTCTCTCCCTCTCTTTTCTTCTAGTAATCTCCTCTTTCCTCTTCTTTTGCGCAATCTCCCCTTCTCTCTTATTATCGCGTATTCTCCCTCTCTTTTTTCTAGCACTCTCCTCTTTCCTCTTCTTTTGCCTAATCTCCCCTTCTCTTTTTATCGCGTATTCTCTCCCTCTCTTTTCTTCTAGCACTCTCCTCTTTCCTCTTCTTTTGAATAATCTCCCTTCTCTCTTATTATCGCGTATTCTCTCCCTCTCTTTTTCTTCTAGTACTCTCTCTCTTCCTCTTCTTTTGCCTAATCTCCCCTTCTCTCTTATTATCGCGTATTCTCTCCTCTCTTTCTTCTAGTACTCTCCTCTTTCCTCTTCTTTTGCGCAATCTCCCCTTCTCTCTTATTATCGCGTATTCTCTCCTCTCTTTTCTTCTAGCACTCTCCTCTTTCCTCTTCTTTTTTGCCTAATGTCCCCTTCTCTTTTTTATCGCGTATTCTCTCCTCTCTTTTCTTCTAGCACTCTCCCTCTTTCATCCTCTTTTGAATAATCTCCCTTCTCTCTTATTATCGCGTATTCTCTCCTCTCTTTTCTTCTAGTAATCTCCCCTCTTTTCCTCTTCTTTTGCGCAATCTCCCCCTTCTCTCTTATTATCGCGTATTCTCTCCCTCTCTTTTCTTCTAGCACTCTCCCTCTTAACTCTTCTTTTGCCTAATGTCCCCTTCTCTCTTATTATCGCGTATTCTCTCCTCTCTTTTCTTCTTCCTCCCCTCTTTCCTCCTCTTTTTGCGTAATCTTCCTTCTCTCTTATTATCGCGTATTCTCTCCCCTCACTTTTCTTCTAGTACTCTCTCTTTTCCTCTTCTTTTGCCTAATCTCCCTTCTCTTTATTATCGCGTATTCTCTCCCTCTTTTTTCTTCTAGCACTCTCCTCTTTCCTCTTCTTTTGCCTAATCTCCCTTCTCTCTTATTATCGCGTATTCTCTCCTCTCTTTTTCTTCTAGTACTCTCTCTCTTTCCTCTTCTTTTGCCTAATCTCCCCTTCTCTCTTATTATCGCGTATTCTCTCCCTCTCTTTTCTTCTAGTACTCTCTCTCTTTCCTCTTCTTTTGCCTAATCTCCCTTCTCTCTTATTATCGCGTATTCTCTCCTCTCTTTTCTTCTAGCACTCTCCTCTTTCCTCCTCTTTTGCGTAATCTTCCCTTCTCTCTTATTATCGCGCTATTCTCTCCCTCTCTTTTCTTCTAGCTCTCTCTCTTTCCTCTTCTTTTTGCCTAATCTCCCTTCTCTCTTTTTATCGCGTATTCTCTCCCTCTCTTTTCTTCTAGCACTCTCCCTCTTTCCTCTTCTTTTGCCTAATCTCCCCTTCTCTCTTATTATCGCGTATTCTCTCCCTCTCTTTTCTTCTAGTACTCTCTCTCTTTCCTCTTCTTTTGCCTAATCTCCCCTTCTCTCTTATTATCGCGTATTCTCTTTTCTTCTAGTACTCTCTCTCTTTCCTCTTCTTTTGCCTAATCTCCCCTTCTCTCTTATTATCGCGTATTCTCTCCCTCTCTTTTCTTCTAGTACTCTCCCTCTTTCCTCTTCTTTTGCCTAATCTCCCCTTCTCTCTTATTATCGCGTATTCTCTCCCTCTCTTTTCTTCTAGCACTCTCCCTCTTTCCTCTTCTTTTGCCTAATCTCCCCTTCTCTCTTATTATCGCGTATTCTCTCCCTCTCTTTTCTTCTAGCACTCTCCCTCTTTCCTCTTCTTTTGCCTAATGTCCCCTTCTCTCTTTTTATCGCGTATTCTCTCCCTCTCTTTTCTTCTAGCACTCTCCCTCTTTCCTCCTCTTTTGCGTAATCTTCCCTTCTCTCTTATTATCGCGCTATTCTCTCCCTCTCTTTTCTTCTAGTACTCTCTCTCTTTCCTCTTCTTTTGCCTAATCTCCCCTTCTCTCTTATTATCGCGTATTCTCTCCCTCTCTTTTCTTCTAGCACTCTCCCTCTTTCCTCTTCTTTTGCCTAATCTCCCCTTCTCTCTTATTATCGCGTATTCTCTCCTCTCTTTTCTTCTAGCACTCTCCCTCTTTCCTCTTCTTTTTGCCTAATCTCCCCTTTCTCTCTTATTATCGCGTATTCTCTCCCTCTCTTTTCTTCTAGTACTCTCCCCTCTTTCCTCTTCTTTTGCCTAATCTCCCCTTCTCTCTTATTATCGCGTATTCTCCCTCTCTCTTTTTTTCTTCCTCTCCTCTTTCCTCTTCTTTTTGCCTAATCTCCCCTTCTCTCTTATTATCGCGTATTCTCTCCTCTCTTTTCTTCTAGTATTCTCCCCTCTTTCCTCTTCTTTTGCCTAATCTCCCTTCTCTCTTATTATCGCGTATTCTCTCCCTCTCTTTTCTTCTAGCCTCTCCCTCTTTCCTCCTTCTTTTGCCTAATCTCCCCTTCTCTCTTATTATCGCGTATTCTCTCCTCTCTTTTCTTCTAGTACTCTCCCTCTTTCCTCCTCTTTTGCCTAATCTCCCCTTCTCTCTTATTATCGCGTATTCTCTCCCTCTCTTTTCTTCTAGCACTCTCCCTCTTTCCTCTTCTTTTGCCTAATCTCCCCTTCTCTCTTATTATCGCGTATTCTCTCCCTCTCTTTTCTTCTAGTACTCTCCCTCTTTCCTCCTCTTTTGCCTAATCTCCCCTTCTCTCTTATTATCGCGTATTCTCTCCTTCTCTTTTCTTCTAGCACTCTCCCTCTTTCCTCTTCTTTTGCGTAATCTTCCCTTCTCTCTTATTATCGCGTATTCCCTCCCTCTCTTTTCTTCTAGTACTCTCCCTCTTTCCTCCTCTTTTGCGCAATCTCCCCTTCTCTCTTATTATCGCGTATTCTCTCCCTCTCTTTTTTCTTGTACTCTCCCTCTTTCCTGCATTCTCTATCTGCAGCTTCCCTCCATACATCCACTCCTCACGTCATTTTCATAATAATCGTTATTTTATTTATTTATTTTTTATTATTTTTTTTCTGCTTTTAGGAACATTTCTCAAGATGAATGAGACGACATTAAACGAAACAGAAATTTCAGAAATTCTTTCTCGTCTTAACAAGGAACAAGCCTTAATTATGATCCCCTCAACAATCCTGGTCATCATTACAATGTCGGTAGGACTTATTGGCAACCTTTTCACCTGTTATGTCTACGGCTTCCGACTGAAGATGACACCAACATACCTCTTCGTTGTCATGTTGGCCATAGTCGATTTGATTACCTGTGCCATTATCACACCTGGAAGAATCATTCAGAACGTCGTTCCATTGATGACCACATGGGACGGTATGTGTAAGAACCACATGGTTTTATCGGTTTTCACTGGCCTCGCTACTTGTGGATTTCTTGTTGCAATCGCTATCGACCGCTACAGAAGAATGTGCAGCCCCCTCAAGACTCAGATTTCCATGAAGGGTGCAAAAATCATAACTGTAGCCATCTGTTTATTTTGCGCAATACAGGGAGGTATTGTAACTCTCTATTACGGGAGTGTGAGAAAGCCTACGACGTACTCCAATGTTTTCGGTCATTCTTGTTCTGCGAAGATAATGAAGAAGATCAATTATTATCAATTGGGATTTTTTGCTTTTTACCTGCTCATCACAATATTCACTATATTTCTGCTGGTCGCATTGTATTCGATCGTGTTGCACACTATGAAAAAGATTGTCAATAAAAACAAGACAGTGGTTTCGCAACCTCCATCTAAAACAGAAAACTTCCGTAAAAGACTTAGCAATGCAGTCATTCAAATGAAGTTGAAAGCTGATCCAAGTAGTACCAGCAGTAACATGAGTACAAACACGAATTGTAGTAGTACAAACACACTGGAGGAAGTAGTGACCGACATCGAAGAAAACGCATCGTCAGTTAGCTCTGTTCAGCAGTCTTCCTCTTCAGGTGTCTCTTCGGGAATGTCGTCCGGTGACAGTGAGCGTCCAGCTGCACGCAATGAATTGGCAAAGAAAGAGACGCGAACCCGAAGCCTCAAGAGAGCAGAAGATAACATGAAAAGATTGAACCGTACGACTGTGACGATGATGATGATAACAGCAGTGTTCGTGGTGACATATATTCCGAGTGTATCCGCGATGATGGTGAACGCAGCTGTGAAAGCTGAACAAAAAATGGGAACAGCCGCCGCCATCTTTTATTGGTTAGCCAGACATACTTTCTACATCAGCGCGTGTCTAAATCCAGTCATTTACGGTTACAGGAATCAGAACTTCATGGACGAAGTCCGGCTACTTTTTCGCAAATTCAGATAATTTTATTTTTATTTAAAAAAAAAAAAAAAGAAGCTACTTTTAATGCGAGAGACACAATCCCTGAAATAATTTCTTTGGGTGAATTTAATATTTTGATAACTCTGTCCAGAATGCTTTGTCTTGGAACTTCTCTTCGTCTGGTTGCATATCCTTAAAGAGGGGAAAGAACCACCTATAGTTGTTTAACCTCTACGTTTCCAGTTTTAATTTCCTGCTTTTTAAAATTTCTAAGAAATAGAAGTACTTTTTTTTAATTTGTTGCCAATATTTTTATTTATGCTTTGAGATCAAAATACTTCAAACTAGCCTCTGATCTGAAGGTTTTGAGGAGCATGGAACCACCTCTTAATTGCTGGTTTTCCCAGGCCCACCCTGACCCGGGGTGGTAGCACCTGTTAGGATCCCAGCTATGTATGACGATAAGCTACATCCGCGTCCTGGGTAAGACAATAAACTACGTCCAACAGCAAGGCCTCTGATAATACGTTTTTGAAAAAATAATGTTGCCAGCTGTACGTTTTTGAAAAAAAAATATATTACCAGCTATTCGTTTTTGGAAAAAAAATTACCAGCGAAGGAATATTTTTACCAGAAATAGATATTTGAAGGAAAAAATATCACGAACAAGGACAATTTTGTTTGCATTAAATAACCCATAGAGGTTGATATGCCGTAAAACAAAAGAAACCAAAAAAATAAAACAGAACTAACAAGATTTTTTAACATAAATCTTTATCGAATTGCTAAGACGCCAATCCAAAACCACATAGCAAGAGCCATAAAGAACGGGGTGTTGTCAAGAGCCAACATCGCCCACTTCCTGAAGGGACATGGCACACAGAAGAATAATCTAAGCACAAATGAATGTGATAAATATCGCCAAATGATTTATAGATAAGCAAATGTCTGCGTCTGTGGAGGGACAATGGATATTTGCAACAAACTGCGTCCTGGGTAAGACGATAAACTACATCCGACAGCAAGGCCTCTGATCAGGAGGTTTTGAGGAGCGTGGAACCACCGCTTAATTGCTGGTGTTCCCAGGTCCACCCTGACCCGGGGTGGTAGCACCTGTTAGGGTTCCAGCTATGGACAAATAGTTAACCCCCCCCCAAACAGGGTTCAAAACATTATAAAAGTGTAAAAATAGGTTTTAACACCAGCAATACATTTTGAAAAAAAATTGTCAACAATAAAATCTTGTCGGCATTAAATAACCTATTGAGGTTGATATACCACAAAACAGACCAAACATCCCCCCACCACTCTCGATTATAAGTCCTAGTAGGATCTCCAGCTTTGTTAAGATAGCCTCGCTGTGGCGTTTAAACAGTTGAGTAGTGCATATAATTGCTAAAATATGGAGTCTCTATGAAAAAAAGTGTATAATACAGTATTCTGATGAGCAACGGTAAATTTTGGTAATAATGCTTCACCGCAATAATGCTTCATTGCTATTGTTTGTGTCAAGGGGAGATAACTTTTTGTCTCTCGCTACAGCTGTTTCGCGACTGTGACAGCAAAGCTGAAAGAATCTGGTATTATCCAATGGAGACTTTTTGGTAATAATGCTTTTTTGTTAACTGTACAATTAATAATCCTGATATTACAAAGAACTCTTGTATTTTGAAACAATTACATAAATAAACAAGTTTTATTAAATATTTGAATAGGGCAAACTTAACCCGTGGATAAGATGTCGGTGTATAACTGAATTTACCGGAAGTTAAACAGGAAGTCGCATTTCATGAGGATTGAGGTTTTTTCAGTAACTTTCGATGTCAACACGCAACTTAGCAATCTGCATGAAATTTAAAGATTATTATTATTTCCGTTTGTGATTCATTGGGATTCATCGTTCGAATCGAGGCATACTCCACTCCCCGCGAAATTAAAGCAAAGTCTTTCAAGTAAAACTGACCAATGATTAATACATTGTTTTTTTTTTTTACTTTACGATACTTCATACGACCATGACATGTTCGCTTCAACACTTTTAACTTTTACCATTATATATATATATATATATATATATATATATATATATATATATATATATATATATTGAAAAAGTCCGACAATTATTTCAAGACATTTTTATGTTTATACGTTCTTTTTATGGATTCAAGTATTTAAGTAAATGCTCTGTTTATAATAAATAGTATTAACGACATTTACCCGCCTGAATGTCCGAGAAATTTTCATAGAAAATATGAGTCCTCCGACAGGAATCGAACCTGCATCCTATATATATATATATATATATATATATATATATATATATATATATATATATATATATATATATATATATATATATATATATATATATATATATCGAACCTGTATCCTATATGGAACCGTTACGCACACACACACACACACACACACACACATATATATATATGACAGTTCCATATAGGATACAGGTTCGATTCTGTCGGAGGACGCATATTTTCTATGAAAATTTCTCGGATATTCAGGTCGGTAAATGTCGTCAATACTGTTTTCTCCAAACAGAGCATTTACTTAAATATTTGTATCTATAAAAAGAATGTATAAACATAAAATATATATATATATATATATATATATATATATATATATATATATATATATATATATATATATATATATATATATATATTCGAATTTCCTAATACAAAGTTAGTCTTTTTGAAAGTATATACATTCTATGTACCAAAAACCAAAATGATTTTTGTACTTATCTGTTTGTCTTATCATGAGCCTGAAATACATGCGTCTTCATACCTTAACTTCCGGGATCAAAAGAGAAAGATCGACTTCCCCGCCTAACGACGTTTCGTGCGGGTCTTGTCATGTCACGTGACTGTTTTCTATTGACGTGAATATTTATAATAAATGTTTATTGCTATTGTTTGGGTCAAGGGGAGGTAACTTTTTGTCTCTCGCTACATCTGAAAGAATCTGGTATTATCCAATGGAGACTTTTTGTTTCTTGAAATAGCCAATCTACCGTTTGCTTGCTTGCATACATATATATATACATATATATATATATATATATATATATATATATATATATATATATATATATATATATATATATATCACACTAAATCACGGGTTTTACATGGCTTTGAATGATACTTCTAAAAGTGATGCTAACATCTCATGATCAAATAAAACAAATAACAATAACCACGTGTTCAAATTTTCTTTTTTTTCTCTCTTTTTTTTTAAATTTATTTTTATTTTTAATATTTAACTTTGACAGGCTCTAAATATCATTGTGGATTTCTTACTCAAACAGAATTTGGGAAAGCTGTGATATTTCCTGGGGTGTATTGTTAATGCTGTTTCGTTTGTACACTTAATGTAGTATTTAAAGAGAATCTTGTCCTATTTAAAGTTTTAAAAGAAATTACTTAAGCTTCAATATAATTTTCAATATGCATGTGACATTGTGAATGGGACAACAACATGGCAGAAAATAGTGTGTGATCTTTAATTCAGTTTCAAGTGTTTTGTGTTTTATGCCCAGCGATAAGGTCTGTGAGGTAGGATCTTCAAAGCGGCCACCGACTTGACCGAAAGGAAATAAAATAATAAATGAAAACTTTTGGGCGTCGAGCATTTCAGGTGGTAAGTTTATATTATATATTATAAGAGTTGAAATTGAGGG